AATTAAATATTTTACTTAGAAAATATATAGCTAAAATCAATATTTAAAATTTTATTAAAAAAATTTATATTTTAAAATATTTTGCAGGCAAATTTGGCTGCAAAACAATTTAAGGGATTGCCAGAAACTTTTTATTAGACAATTACAATATACCAGGAATGGAGTTTGTGCAATGTACAACGTAGTGTATGGTTTACAGGCAAGTTAATATGTCTGTGCAATTCTCAGCACTTGATTGGTCCACATAACTCTGTTCATCCTATATCATTATGTGTTGTCTATTTTTCGCATGCCATTTCACATCTTATACTGTGGTGTGACTATTATACTTGTGTTTATACACATGAGTGTATAATGTTTAATGTGAATAGTACTTTATAATTAACAAAAATAAAACCTGGAACTACAAATGTTATAATGAATGATATTAAAAGAATTGTTTTTTAACATAAATACTGGTGGCCCAATATGCTTTTCGCATATATTCATTAGATTTTTTTAAATTTTTATTTTTTTTTTCATAAAATTTTTTATAGATTGATAAAATGATAATCAATGATCATCAAAGATTTGACATTTGTTTATACATCAGAGTAAATTCAAAATCAAATTTTAAACGTTAACCATAAATGGTTGATTTATACAACTTTATACTAGCTGCTGTTTTCTGCTTCATAATGCGTTCTGACTTGTACTTGTTGATGTTGTACTCTCATGATTTTCATTGCATTCTATATTGAGTTAGAAATACTATATATAGTATATTATTTACTAATCATACTTATATTTTTTGATCTATGCATGCTGATCATTTGATATTAATAATTTTATTCTAACTGAATACATATCTTGTGCCAAATTTCTAGTTGTAAAGCGAGCATGGTTATGCCAAATTTGAGTAATTCAAAAAACTCAGCCTGGATGAATATTATTAAATCAAGTATATTGTACTGATTATTGTAAACTTTGCCAATTACGTTCTGACAAAAATGTGTAAATCTTTAAATTGTTTGTTATTTATATTGATATTTAATTGTTGTATATACTTTTTGTTAATAAACCTGATTTTTGTTTTTATTGTGCTTTGCTTTATTATCATTATTGCTTACTTGTTTTAGAGACAATAATTCTGGTATTTAGTGGTAGTAAAACAAGCTAGTTAATTTGACAATTGGTATATTATGCGATTAAAAATAATAATTCATAAAATGATTAATTGCCATATTGAAATGTTTTTTATAATTAAATCGTATATAAAACAAATTTGAATAAATTAAAAAAAATGGCAATTTAATTATTGAGCATTATAAATTTACTTATCTGAACTGAGAAAACATATACAGGTAATATCATATGAATCTTTAAATTATATAAAAATTTATATGAATAGACGCTATAGTTAATTGTTTTCGTATTATAAATCTTACTGCAAAATTGACCAGTTTTAATTTCGTAAAATGAAGCTAATTTAAAATAGCCCCACGTAAATATTGAATATTATAAAATTATTCCTAAACAGATAATTATACGATTGTGTTAATTGCATCTATATTTGTAAATTATGATTTTGATTGGATGTTTTTTGTTTAGACAATATTAAGCTATTATACTATGTGTTGTTCTTATTGCGTGATAAAATCTTTGATAATGATTAACTTGCCAAATCCTTGAGGACAATCAACTGTTATGAATCTTTGTTTGATAATAAACTATATTAGATTATTGTAAAAAAAAAGACCAAAATATAAAAAATTCAAGTACAGGTGACCCCCGATAATATCAACCTACGTTAATATCAACCTAAGCCACAAATCAAGTTTTTACAAATTTTTATATATCAAAATTTCCTCGTATATATCAACTTTAATATGAATTTTCGTTAATATCACTGTCAACATAATTTTGAACAGGTTCAAATGGGTTGATATTAACGAGGGTCACCTGTACTAGTTTTCTATATAAAAATGCACTTTTTGAAGATCCACTTTTTGAGAGTGCAGTTTGATTTCTTCATCGTAATAAAATTGCAATTGTATTCAAGACCTAAAATAGTTTCTCATGTTTTATTTCTTGTTGTCATAATCTTAGTAAAAAACAGCTGATCATGCTTAAGCGGACTTGCTAAATATAAGCATACCAAAGAATTGACCCAGACAATCAAATTTAAATACTTCTTTCCTATTAATCAACTGTTGCAAACATTTGCAAACAAAGATTTAGTTTTTATTTCAGATAAATTTATTGTTGAGAATTCTGAACCATGTTTTACTATTGCATACTCAAGCATTGTTGATAATGAAAACCCTAACTGCGAATTTGACTTGAGCAATGTTCCCATAACTATTCCTTATAGTATGTACTTTGTAACTGTTACCTGTTAGCCAAATAATGTCAGAGATTTTATTCATTTTGGTGCAGAAACAATTCAATATAATTCTGTCACTGGTAACTCTGATATTAAAATGAACATGACAATTATCTACTCGCTTAATTCGTCTAGGTTTAAATATTTAGACCATTTACATTCTAATGTTAAATTATGATCCAATTATTTTATATCGAGTCTTTTTAAATTTTCGAAGTCTGGCAAGATGATGATTGAGGCCACTAATATCGATTATCTAAAAACCTCATCTATCAATATTAGCAGATCTGAAAGTTCTCGCTCAACAATATCGGATGCACTATTAATAATCGATATTATTGATGATGATATTGATTCTACTATAACAAAGGCACCCCAAGATCAGTATAGTTTATTTAAGAAATCTGTAAATCCTGTTAATGTCGATGTTGAAGCTGCCCATCTTATAATAGTAAAGAATATTATACTACTAATGCCAACATTGAAGCTATTGTATTCTATGATAGTAAAAAATATCATACTATTATTGAAGATTATAAAAGTGATGAGAAGCAATTTGATTATGAAAATGGTAATGAGAGTGATGATGAAAATGCTATGTATTTAGCTTGTTTTGATGAATTTCAAGATATTGAAAAACTAGAGGAATCACCACCTAAAAAAAGAAAAAGAGCTCCTAGAAAGGCAATGAAAAGAAAAGGAAAAAAATATTAAAAAAAGTTCATAAAAATCATTTATATGAATATGGTAGATATCAAATATGGCAATTTATTTGTTATGTTGTATATTTTTCCTGAATTAATATCGTCATTATATATATAAATGTCATAATAGCTTGATTAATTCAACTTATTTTTTATTATATTATCTATCATGTTTATAATACATCTTCAAGATATTTATTTTTATATTTTACTCTTATATACATACTGATAACTGATCATAAAATAAATATGCTGTCTCTATAATAATCTTTTGTTAAGTCTTTATGAGAATAACTATGTTTAACCATATAAGTTAATCCTTAAATTGCGATAAATTTATAATCGGAAATAAAAAAATTTTGCATATAGTACATTCTAAACAAATGATTTCTTAATTCTTTTCATCCTTTCACATACTTTAAGTTATTGCTATATATGACAACTATTAACTTAGAATTTTTGTCTTTTTACATACGAAAACAGGAGCCAGTTGCACTCCCTATTGTACGAGTTCACTTGCTTCGATTTCCTGAAATATCTTAATGGTCTACAGTATTAAATAGTATTCATTAGATCATGTCATAATTATGAGTACTAAGATCCTTCATATAAATGTTAATCTATCTTTTCGGTCATTTATTTTTAATTGTTATGTGAATCGTAAATAAACTCAAATAGCTTATTTTAAATTTATAATTACTAAATATTTTATATGTGAATATGATAAATTTAAATAGTTTGAAATCCAAAAATGTGATCTATGTCTCGTTGTGTATATCTAGAATATCAGAAATGTTAAGTATGTCAGATATATCAAATATATCTGATATATATAATATATCCCTATCTCGCATAAATGTAATATATGAAATAGATACGATATATAGGATAAATTAGATATATTCGATATAGTAGACAAGTTCATAATGTAAATAGACAAGAAAGTTTATTATAAATAAAGAGCAATTTGCCCAGACAAAAGAAAAGGGATTACAGTTGCGAAATTAAAACTAACTACCTGACCCATAATAAAAATAAAAGTGTTGCTTTATACAAACTATTAACTATCGTTAAATCCTGTTATTAACACTACCTATCCACTCACCAACAACTAAACCCATAATTGATCATTCACTTTAGTCACATGTTTGGTAACTGAAATATAAAGAGAAAAGCTCCAACCCTGATTCGACGTAATGTAATCCTGAGTTAAGACATAAAAGAAAATAAGAATTAGAAAAGGATAAGTTGAAGAAAAGACTCAAAGAGGAGACCAGTACTCACCTATGGACAATCATCCATCTGCCAAATCTAACACACCTATTTCGATTTAGCTGCCGTAAGTTATGTGAGAATTGTGTTAGATTAGTGACAGACTTGCCAATTTCCGAGATAACAATAGTAAATGTTAATAAAGTTGGTTAGTTTATTTTTAATAATACTACCTATTCTTCTCAGTAAATCCCAAGAATATGTTTAACTAAAGTTTAACTATACTAAATTTAGGTTGATCAGGATTAGTAAGACTCTATATAAATGCATGCCCCAAAATAATATCAAGTTTAATTAATAAATATTGTTTATTTATGGATATTAATTATTTAATACCTGAACCAAATATGGTAAAATAGATAGTTAATAGATAAGAACACTTTAGTTAAAACAAGTATTTTACTAGAATTTTCTTATTTAATATTATTATACAATTTACTGAATATTTTCTAAAAATAGTAAAGATTTTGACTATATTGGGTAAGAGAATACGAAAAACTTATTACTAGTTGACAACAGTTCATTCAATCAGATGGAAATCTACCATACTATAAATCTTCTTAAATCGTTACTGTTATAAAGTATAAAAAGATTGTGTATTTTGTTAAAAAAAAAGAAGAGAAAAAGTATTGTTTTTCTGATTATAAATTAAACGTTAAATAAATATCTCATTTCTTGATACAAAACTCTCTTATATCCACAAACTTTGATTTTATTCTTTAACATATACATTATTATATAATTTTAAACACACTATGATTAATATAGAAACTAAAGGTAAAACCAAGAAGAGAAAAAATTGTGAACGAATGGCTCTCTGATATAAAAATCCTCAATTGCGAAAGTCACATAATGAAAACCAAAAAGCTATACTGAAGAAAAAGAGAATTGAAACTCTACTTACAAGAGATCGTCTTGCTAATAGTTTAAGCATCTCTTTACGCATTATAGATATGGATAGGGAATTTGAAAAACTTAATCAACATCACATTACATTGCCTCAACCTACTAGAAAAGAAATAGCTAAAGAAGCGTTGTCTGAATTTTGAGATATAGTTAATCTTAGTGAATTGCATGAATTGCTGTGTGCAGTTTGTTCAGAAATTTATAATCACAAAAATTACAAAATAATTTGAGTGCGAACAATTAATCTTTCTTTGATTAAAGCACCACTTGAACTTACTGATCCATCATTCAAAATCAATTTTAACTATAACCACCCTTACATTAACACTAGTCGTCTAAATGTTCTCCTCAATCGTTCTGGGTTCATATACCCACCTAAACATCTTGATGAATCTGATGATTCTCATGATCCCTTTTAATTACGAATTTGCTATTCTTGCGATAATTATTTCTAAAAATATATGACTCCACTATTATCATTAGCCAATGACATGTGGATTGGTTCTACACCCTCATGCTTTCAAGACCTATCAATACCAGAACAACTTCTCATTTCGCCCAGGTATCTATGTATGAATCTGATACAGATAACGAAAAAAAGACATACTCACTATAAGCTTAAGAGATATATCGTGACATTGCCTCAAAATCCAAGTTCTTTAATTAATGTACTGCTCTTATCAGTATATAAGCTCTATAAATATATAAAAGTAGTCTTTGTAGGTAAAGGAACTCTTACTCAGCACTAGCTCAAAAAACTGCTCCAAGTCCAAAAAAGCAAGATAACAATTGCTCTTAAATGGCTTTTTGATTACAATAAATTATTTAAAAAGAACATTCAACTTGATGAGAATAATTTAAACAACCTACACAAGAGAAAAATTTCTAAAGCCTTAACAGTAACAACCACAGTTGTAGATATTGATTCTTGTAAAACAGAGCATTATACTGGCTACACTTGTGATCAGCAAGAATCTGATAGCGAAAGTGATAATAGTGAAAATGATGAACTATCTAATATTAATAAACATTCTTTAAAAAACTTCGTAAGTGATAATTCGATTAATAGTGCAAAAGAACTCAGACCTTCTGGGATAATAGATATTGATGACATACCAATTACCAGAAAAGAGCTTACATTGCTCTCTTTCAAAAAGCTTGTTGATAAACTGGTTTATAATGCTTATGAGCAATTACCACCGAATAAAAACATGCATAGATTGAAAGACATGGCAATAAACCTCTAAATGAATACAAAGACTTAACTCTTCTTCTTGCAGGATTTCTAGTTCTCTTCCTTTATGGTGTTGGTGGTCATGAAGGTCGATTATCTCGCATCTTGTTGAAAAAATATTCTAACTACCTAATGCAGCATAGCGACCCAAAGTTTAGACAACACAGGTTGTTTCCATTTGTTATTTTTAACATTTTATAGCGGCGAGAAGTATCAACAGAATCTTATAACCTAACTAGAAATAATAATTTCAATCGATCAGCTAATTTAATATCATTTTTAAAAACTAAAGATATTGATTTTGCTATTAAACAAGTTCAAAATAATTAATCAATTAGTAACCCTGCTGTTATCAAATTGCTCAAAAATGTTAATTCTGCAGGTTCTAAATTAATGGCATCTTACCAATCACATTCATGTATGCGTAATAAAATACATGCTATTATTATGCAAAATGGTACACCTTTATTGTTCATAACTATAGATCCTGCAGACCTTCATAGCCCTATTGTTATGATGTATGCTGGAAAAGAGATAAATCTTCAAAATCTCTCTCCAAAAAACTTTTCAAAAGCTTTAGAAAGAGCTCGGCTTGCCCATCTTGACCCTACAGCTGTTGCCAAATACTTTAATGTTATTATTCAAGCAATTATAGATACCTTAATTGGATATAAAAGAAAAGATGATAGTATATTCAGCTCTATAAGAAATTATTATGGTGTAGTTGAATATCAAGATTGTGGTACACTGCATTGTCACATGCATGTTTAGCTTTATAAAGCTCGCAACCCATTATTGTTATGCCAAAAACTTAAAACTGATAATGAATTTTGCGAATGTCTCCTACATTATATTAGTAGTATTGTTCGTGAGGACGTTAATTATCTCGTGAAGAATGAAATTATTAATGTTGCCACGATTAAAGCCAAATACAAAGCCTCTAAAACAATGTTTGAAAAGTGAATACATCTATCTTTTCTACCTATGCCTGATCCCAAGTTACCTAACTTTGAAGAAGAGCTTCATTTCGACCTACTTGCAATTTGTAAACGTACTCTTTTTCATCATTGCACTCATTCCTGCAAGAAATATAACCATGGTTTACGTAAACATTGCCGATTTGACTTTCCACGAGAGCTTGTAGATCTACCTGGTATGATTTTTCATGAACAAGGTATAATTGCCATTCAATGTGCGAGTGCCTTTGTTAACAATCATAACCCTTATATAACCACCGCATGCAGAGAAAATAATGACATTAAATTTATATCCACCCAGAAACTTGCTCTGACTTACATTCATTATATTACCGATTACCTTACTAAATCTGATATTAGCACATATAGCTCTTTATTAATATATGCTTCCACTCTAGAAAACTTTTTAACTCGATTACCTGATAGAATTTCGCATGATTTTGTATTCAAATTGCGTAACTTTGTAATAAAATGCCTTAACAAAATAGCTGGACAAATGGAGCTTACAAGTCTACAGGTTTCTGCTTACTTGTTGGGTATTTGTGATTATTACACCCTAAACAAAT